GCTCTTCCCACTCCGCCGGCCGCAGCCTCGGCTGCCTCGGGCTCCCGTGGGCCCTGGATCAGCGCCGATTTGGGGCTTTCCAGGTGCTCCGCAGCCCCCAAGGCTTTTCTTGCCTCGTGCACTGGGTAGATCCGACACAAGCTGCAACCCACCCTGTGTACATGCCATGCACCTTGCAAACGCCACCAAACCTTGCCCAAATTGCCCGCTCTGCTGCTTAAACCTGCTGCGGCTCTGCAGGGAGCAGCACGTGGGGATGGGGGGGATGAGGGGACAAGCAGGCAGGTAAAGGCACATGCAGAGGCGGGCTGCATGGCGGGTTAGGGACATGCAGAGGAACAGAGGGCTGCATGGGGGTGTAGGACAGGGTGCACAGCACCAGCGTTTTCCACACATGAAAACCCCCAGTGTCCTGCAGGGCATGGGTTTTGCATTTATTGTGTTAAAAGTGCCCTTTCTACAGCAGTCCCGCGCAGCCCTGCTCCGCACCCCAACACACCCGGGCATCTGCTCAGCTTCCGCACCAGGTTACCCCAACACCAGCCCAGACGTGAGACAGGCCCCATTCCGGCAAACGTCGCCCTGTCCCCGCGTCGCGGCGGGACAGGAACCTCGCGCGGGGCTGCAGGGCCAGCGGCTACCCGGCCCTACCTCCGCCCCGCTCCCACATCTGCAGCTGGAATTGCAATTTGAAGCGCTGCCGGGGCTGGGCCGGCGAGTGGGAGTGGGAGGAAGGCGCTGGGGGAAGGCAGAGGAAGCCGGAGAGGCGGCCGGCACGGCACGACACGGCACGGCGCGGTGCAGCGCGGTGCACCTAGCACGGGAGCTGCAGCATCGTCCGACCAGCAGCGCACGGGGGACAACATCGGGCGCCGCGGCGGGACGGGGCCCGGAGGCGGGTGAGGTGCTGGGGGACCCGGGACAGCCCTGGTCCAAGGCCTGAGGTGAAGGGTGGGAAGGGGGAGCCGGAACGCCTGGGCCCTCTTCCTGGCTCTGGGGTGCGGGGGGTGCAGATGCAGGGCCCGGGGCACCACAGGGACACACTGGGTTTCCTGCGGACACAGCCCCACGGCTTTCCTGCCCCTGCAGGGCTCCCCGGCACCGCAGGGGCTTTTGCTCCATGGGCAGCAGCACGGGAGGCCCTGTCCCCCCTGTCCCTGCACCTTGGAGCTGGAGTCACAGCCCATGGAGCGACACCAGCCCAGCCTTTCCGCCTTGCCAGGGCTGCTCCGGCTCCTTTCCCTTCCCCACTTCCCTGTGCCTGAGCAGAAAGTGGAGGC